ACCAGGAGCTGCTCAGATACTTAATACATATTGACCCATCACAGCCTAACAAGGTAGATTCTGGGGTTAATCCCCCCTTTCCGGAGAGGAAAAGTAAGGCCCGGAGAGGTTAACTAACCTGTCCAACATTACATAACAAGTAAGTGGGAGAATTTGGGCCCTGATAGGCTGGCTCCGGAGTTGAGCAATTTCCACTATCCTGAAATGTGTCTCAAGAACCTCTGAAAATATATAAGAAACTAAAGTTCCGGGTGCCTGGGTGGCTCAGTCGTTAAGCGTCCACCTTCGGCTCAGGTCATGATCCCAGGGTCCTGGGATGGAGTCCCACATCGGGCTCTCCCTGCTCAGCGGGAAGCCTGCTTCTCCCTCTCCCACTCCCCCTGCTTGTGTTCCTGTTCTCGCGGTCTCTCTCTGTCATATAAATAAATAAAATCTTTAAATAAATAAATAAATAAATAAATAAATAAATAAATAAATAAATAAATAAATAAAATCTTTAAAAAAGAAACTAAAGTTCCTCAAAGCAACATGTACCTTACTCCATACAGCACAGTCTGATTTTTTTCCGATTCTGCTTTATTTTGTTTCTTTAATGCTTGTTACAACCCATTAAGTATTTTTCAGGACCCACAGTTTGGAAAACAAGCCTTAGAAAGGCTTCCCTGATCTACTCCCATCCCAGGGCCCTTGCTCTCTGACCTCCCATACCCACAACTGCAGAGCTCCACACGCCTAACCTCTGCCCATGGCTCCCTGTCTCAGCCTTCCCATGAGCTCCAGACCTGATTTAGATCCAACTCCCCCCAACCCACTCTTCTCTGGGGCCACCAGCATCCTGGATGCCTCCTTTAGATGCCCAGCATATGAGTTTTCCCCGGGGTTGTCATAACCAAGTATTACAAACCAGTGATTTAAAACACAAAGGTACTCTCCCAGTTCTGGAGGCTAGAAATCCAAAATCAAGGTGTTGGCAGTATTGTACTCCCTCTGAAGGCTCTAGGGGAGGATCCTTCCTTGCCTCTTGCAGCCTCTGGCTGCCCTGGGCCTTCCTTGGCTTGTGGCAGGATCACTCCAATCTCTGTCAGTCTTCCTTCTATGTATCTCTTTCCTCCTCTTATAAGGACAACAGTCATGTTGGATTAAGAGCGCCCCCTACTCCAGTATGACCTCATCTTATATGATCTACATCTCCAACGACCCTATGTCCAAAAAAAGTCACATTCTGAAGTATTAGGGGTTAGGACTTCAGCATATCTCTTTTGGGGGAAAAATTCAACCCATAATACTCATTGACCACCTTATACTCACCATGTCCTGACTCCATACCTCCAACTAGAACCTGGACCAGAATACTTGCTGTCACCCTGTTAGGGCTCCCCTCCCCTCCTCAGACTGTCACATGCCCTGTACATACTACCTCTCAAATGTCTTCCAATTCATTTCTACCCTTCCCACCATCCCTGCCTAGTCTCCTCCATCCCTCTTCCTCTCCCCCTCCTGCCCCTACCCCAGATTTTTCCTTTGAGTCTAGCCAATAATCTTTCCTCTTCCCATCTACTCTCTATTCAACAGCGGGGGCGGGGGGGGGGGTTGTCTTTCTAAAGCACAAATCAGACCCTGTCCTTCCTTTCTCAGAACTCACTGCCTGTAGGATTGCATTCAGTAAGGCCCAGCATGGGCTGCCCGTGACCACTGGACCCTGACCGCTCATGGGGCACATGGTGGGACCTCATATAAATCTAGCCCCGGTGAAAGTCACCTTGTTACCCACTGTGCACCTGCATACACTGAGAGTAATGTGATCAGAGAAAAACCCAACTCACTTCAACTTCAAAGCCAATGACCTTGAATGATTGGGTCTATTTGTCTACTGGCCTGGCCACTCATTCACTATCTCAGTGCTTTCTCCTGTGTCTTCCCTAACCTCAGGATCTCTCTCTCACCTCAGACCCTGCTTCCTACTCGCCTGAGACAACCTAAGGAACAGAAGAGAACATTCATTCACATGTTCCTGACATCACATCTTGCCTCCTGCCTGCCTCTGTGTCCTCCCCCTCCCACTGTTTTCTGTGTCTGAACAGCTCTTGCCCCTTAGACCACCCTCCACTCCTGCCCTCGGTCCCACTCACCATGCCTATTCGAGGACATTGCTCCAGACACTCTCCCATCCCTCATCTGCACCATCAATCTCCCCTCTTCTGAATCATCCTGAATTGGCGCACAACATACTATTACAACTCCTATCTTAAATAAACCTCTCAAGACCCCAAGCCCTCTTCCAGATATACCCCTTTGACCATATACACTGACTCTCTCCAAACCCTCTCAATCATCAATCAATCAATCAACCCTCTCTTTTTTTAAAAGATTTTATTTATCTGAGAGAGAGAGAGAGAGCACGAGCAGGGAGAGGGGCAGAGGGAGAGGAAGAAGCAGACACCCCAATGAGCAGGGAGCCCGACAGACAGATGTGGGGCTCCTTGATTCCAGGAGCCCAGGATCATGACCTGAGCAGAAGGCAGATGCTTAACCGACTGAGCCACCCAGGTGCCCCAATGAACCCTCTCTTGAACCCATCCAATCAGACTACTGCCCCCACCACATCACCCAAATTGCCCTCTTCAAGATTACTAATGACTTCCATACTGCTGGTCCTAGGGGTCAGTTCTCAGGTTCACTGGACTTGGCCTCTAGGTAGCACTTGGCTTCCTTGATTCTTCCTTTGTCCTTGATTTGCACCCTTCACTTGGACTCCAGGACAGCAGACAGCCCTGGTTCTCCTCTCATTTCACTGAATGCACCTGCTCAACCTCCTTTGCTGATGCCAGCAGTCTATTCTGGAATGCCCCAGCCTCAGGCCATGGACTTTTACCTATAGTTGCTCCCTCTCTAACCTCTCCTATTCCTAAGGATTTTTATGTCATTTAATCACTGACAACTCCTAAAGTTATATCTCAAACCTGAACCTCTCCCCTGAAGTCCAGTCTCAAATATCCAACTGTCTATCTGACATTGGCACTTGGTGGAGTAAAGGGCATCTCAAGTTTGGGCAAACTTGAACTCTTTTTTTTTTTTAAGATTTTATTTTTATTTATTCGAGAGAGAGAGAATGAGAGACAGAGAGCATGAGAGGGAGGAGGGTCAGAGGGAGAAGCAGACTCCCTGCTGAGCCGGGAGCCCGATGCGGGACTCGATCCCGGAACTCCAGGATCATGACCTGAGCCGAAGGCAGTCGCTTAACCAACTGAGCCACCCAGGCGCCCCAAACTTGAACTCTTGATCCTCTTGCAGCCCTGTCCTTCTTGCTTCTGGTAGCTCCAAGTTTCCTGCTGCTTAAGGACAAAGACATTGGAGTCATCCTCGTCTCCTTTCTTTCTTGCAGTTCCTGTACCCCATTACGCTTCGCTTCACCTCCACAGCTACCACCCTGGCTGGAACCACCACCACCCCTCTCCTGAACCACCTCTCTCCTCAACTCACTGGGCACCCAGCTTCCACTCTCGCTTCCTAAACGCAGTTCCCCAGAGAAATCCTACGAAAACCTCCTAAACGCAGTTCCCCAGAGAAATCCTACGAAAACCGAAGTTGTCAGATCATGCCCTTCCTCTGCTCAGGGGCCTCCTGTGACTCCCACTCAGCGTAAGGGCCGGGGTCCTGACAAGGATCCAGGAAATCTGTGCCATTTATCTCCCTGCCCTCCCCTCCCCATTGGCCTCCTCTGCAGTCCTGGAACACAGGAAGCACTTGCTCTCTCACCTCCTTCACGTGTCTACTCAAATGTCACCTTCTCAGGGAGGTCTCCCCTAGCCACCTTATTTTAAAATTATAGACACACAAACGAGCACCATGTTCCCCAACCCCATTTCCTACTTCCATTTTTCCATAGTACTCAACACCTCCTCACTTAGGTATCTTATTTTGCATATTGTCTGTTACTCCCAACTAAAATATGAGCTCCGTGATGGTATAGATTTTTGTCTTTTGTATTCACTGCACTTGGAACCAAGTAGGTGCTTAATAACTATTTGTTGACTAGATGAATGAAGCACCGTTTGTTGAATGACCTTGAGGATTCCTGCAGGATGCAAAACAAATTTCTCAGCCCGACTTAACTCCATCATCCTTTCTTCCAGCTCACCCAACCCGTGTTCTAGATTCATTCCTGCCTCCGCACATTTGCTTAAAGTCATACCTGCACCAGGATCACCCTCCCCACTCGACAAACTCTCCCTCTAAATTCTCCCTCCCCGCGCCATGACGTCAGCGTGTGGACAGGGGGCCCCCCCCAGGCACGGTTGGAAGGTTGACGGGTTGCCATGGTTACTGCACCCGCCTGAGGTGGAATATCCCCAGGGTGCCCCGCTCCAGTGGGTAATAGTTGTTTGGCGGATCCAGAGCAGCCCCGCGCTGGGGCAGATCAGAGCGGGCGGCAATCGTGTTTTCGTACGCCCCCACCTCACCCACACAGTTGTCATGGAAACGGAGCGCTTCCCTCCAGCGCCGTCTCCCTCCCCTCTCTCCTAGAAAATGAGACCCAAGCAGAGTAAGAACGCTGGGTTAGGCGGGAAGACTGTCAGAAAGGCAAGGACGCCGCTCGTTCTCAGCGATCTCTCCATCATTTCTCCCACCTCCTCCAAGGATTGCTACGGCTGCGCCGGGACGGAGCCCCGGGTACCAAAGCTGGGGGGGGGGGGAAGAGAGCGAGAGAGAGAGAGAGCGAGAGAGCGAGAGCGAGCCAGGGGCGCGCATGCGTGGACAGAGTTTTCCGCGTACGCTGCCGAGGCATCAAGAAGCTAAGGGACCTAACGCAGCGCTAATGTTGCGCCTGCGCAGCTAAGCCCCGCTCAAGGAGGCCCGTGGAAGGTAATTCTGCGCTTGCGCCGTGGGAGGGGCGTGAAACTCTAGCGGTAAGGGCGTTGGGGGCTGACTGGCGCTAGGTGCGCCTGCGCCATGGCTCTTGGGGCGGCCGGGGGCGGGGCCCAGAGGGGGAAGAGAGAGGAGGGGGGAGGGAAGAGGCCCGCAGAAGCCCGAGCCTTGACCGACGGGCAGGCGGGGGCTGCGGCGGCGCCGGTGAGTGACCCGCGGCCCGACTCGGTCCCCACCCTCCACGACCCTCACTCTTCCTGGAGTCCCCCATCGCCTCCGTTGTCCCCTCTTACTCCCGGACCCCATTACCCCCAGAGCTCCTCTTAATTCCTGGCAATCCCCAGAGCCCCCACAATCCCCGCAGACCCTAATCCCTCGTATTTTATAGTCCCAGCTCCTCCACTGTCCTCGAAGCCCCCAACTCACCGTTATTCCCGGGCATCCCTTCTGAGGACCCCTTCTCATACCGTTCTTACAGACGTCTTATTGCCCCGGCACCCCCAGGGCGCTCCTCTGCTCCAGATCCCCCCTTCTTGCTGCATCTCTCCTTCAGCATCTCCTTACCCCCATCACCCCCATGCTTCTTCGACCCCCGAGACACCCCCATTCTCCCTCCATTTCGCATTCTCCTATGCCCTCATTCTCCTCTAACTCCTGCAGACACCCCCTCTTCTTTCGCTTTTCCTCATTTCCCTCCACCCCTCCAGACCCTCCCCCAATTTCCATCAACTCCTCGCCGTGGCACTTTGCGCTGCGCGAGGCACAAGAGGAGCGCTCAGCCGGTGTCAGCTATTATTAGGCACTCTGAATGTCCCGCGTGGCCCGTCGCCCCCAGCCACTCTCCGCTCCAGCCCGTGGCCCCGGGGACATAGGAGGCGGTGTCGGGGCGGCCGGGGTGGGGCGGGCGGCGCGCGGACGCCGAGCCCCCGCCAGCGCTGTGCGCCCTGTGCCCGCAGCGCCGGCGCCCCCCCATGCGCCAGGCGGCCGGACGGCGGCGTCGGGGGGCGCCATGGCCTCGGCGGCGGCGGGCGAAGCGGAAGAGACCACCCGGCTGCGCAAGCCGCGCTTCTCGTTCGAGGAGAACCAGATCTTGATCCGTGAGGTGCGCGCCCACTACCCGCAGCTCTACGGCGCGCAGAGCCGTCGGGTGAGCGTGGCAGAGCGGCGGCGTGTGTGGGACGGCATCGCCGCCAAGATCAACGGCATCACCAGCTGGAAGCGCACCGGCCAAGAGGTGCAGAAGCGCTGGAATGACTTCAAGCGCCGCACCAAGGAGAAGCTGGCCCGCGTGCCGCACTCCACGCAGGGCGCCGGGCCTGCCGCCGAGGACGCCTTCACCGCGGAGGAGGAGACCATTTTTGCCATCCTGGGGCCGGGCGTGGCGGGGCCAGGAGCTGGTGCAGGGGCCGAGCCTCCCTCCGGGGCGGCTTCCTCACAGCCGCCGGCCCCGAGTGCGGGCACCCAACGCTACGTGTTGTCCGAGGACCGCAGGGAGGACCGACGGGCAGGTGAGTTTCTTCAGCATCACCTTAGCCAGAGCGGACGGTCACCAAGTCAGCGGTGTGCTCGGCACCGTTCCGAGCCCTTTCCGTGGCTCATCACATCCTCACTTACAACCCGGTGAGGTGGGTGCTGTAATTACGCCCATTTTAAATCTGGGGAAACTGAGGCTCAGAAAGGTGAAATGACTTGCCCAAAGTCCCACAGCTCATGGCTGCCCGAGTCATGAACGGAACCCAGACCTAGGAGGCCTGGCTCCAGAGTCCACACCTGGGATAATCAGCACACACGGGATTTCATTAAACGCAATGTAAGGTAGTGAGAATGGTGGCAGAGTGTGTGGGCTCCCGTCACAAGTCTGCCACTCAGCGGTGTCATTCTGGGTAAGTTACTGCGGGTCAGTTTCCGCCTCTGTAAAATGGGGATGAAAAACACAGTCCCCACCTCAAAAGCTTGCTGCGAAGATTAAATGAGTTAATATGTGTGAATTGCTTAGTACAGCACCTCCGGAACGGTCAGTTAGCTCTTGATAGGATTACCAACGCTGGGAGGTATGAACTGTTTTACCGTTTCATAAGTCAGAGACTCACAGAGGTTTGGTAACTTTCCCAAGGTCATGCCATGAGTAGGGCAAGTGTGGAGAGCAGAGTACAAAGACTTAGCCTTGACTCTGGATTATTCTTTCTTCTACAGCTATTTCCTGAGCAGCTGCCCTGTGCTGGGCAGTGTTGGGGACACAGTGGTGACTGAGACATCCCCAGCCTTGCCCTCCTGGGGCTGAGCTGTGGGAGTGCGGAGGGGGCACCTGACCCAGGCTGGGAGGTCAAGGAAGGCTTCCTGGAGGAGGAAACATCAGAGACAGAGTGAGGAGCTGAGGAAGTGTTCCTGGTAGAAGGAACAGCATGTACAGTGACTTTGACACAAGAAGGTTTAGCCAGTTTAGGAACTGAGAAGTTTTCAAGTTAGGAGAAGGGGAAAGTAAAAAGACTGAAGAAAGGAAATGTTTTGAGATGAAGTCAGGGAGGTCAGCAAAGGCCAGACCATGCAGTGCCTTTTAGGCTGAGGTGAGGAATTTTATCTGAAGTGCTATAAGGAGTCACTGAAGGGTTTTGAGGAAGGGAAGAACGTGGAAGTGATCAAACAAGTTCAGGGTCATGTGATTCAGAGAGGTTTATTCACTTACCCAAGGTCACACAGCAAGTAAGTAGTAGAATTGGGACTCAATTACAGGTTGTGTCCAACTCACAGTGCATGCACTTAACCACTGGGCTAGATTGCCTGGCAATAACAGCAACAATTAATATTGACTGAGAGTTAATGGGTATGCCAGAATTAGATCACACACAGTGTGTTAAGTGAAGGTCATTACTTTGGACTTTATCTTCAGGGCACTGGGGAGGCCTGAAAGCATCTTCGGCAGGAGAGAGAGACACACAATCGCTTGGGACCCTTGTTCTCAATATGAATCTCAAACCTCATTGTTTCTATCCGTGAAGTGGCCACGTTGAACCAGAGCAGAGATGGCAAACTTATTTTTTCAAGAGTTGTACAACTATTTTATTCATTCATTCATTCAACAAATATTTATTGAGCACCTCTTCCAAGGCAGGCACAATGGTAGATGCTGGAAATACTATGGAGAAAAAGACAATGGAGCTGGCATTCCAGTTATTGGAGACAGACCACAAACAAGGAGCCCCAAAACCGATCGTATACCAGGAGGTGGTAAGAACTAAGAAGAAAAACAGAGCACGTTAGGAGCATAGTGAGTGATGGAAGGGGGCCGCTTATAGGTAGGATAGTCAGGGAGATCATCTCTGAGAAAGTGGAATCCGAGCAGAGACCTGAATAGAGAAAGTGAGCCAAGTAGATGTCTGGGAGAATAGCACTTCACAGCTAGAGGAAGCCACACATGCAAAGGCCCTGGGGCAGGAATGTGTTTAAAGCATCCTTGATTGGAACCTCACATGGAGATTCCCCACTGTGTAAACTCATAAAAGAGGAACTGTTCTGATTGTAGGACTGGAACGGGGTTTGGGGCAGCCTGAGGCGTCTCTGTTGACACTAGAGGGAGACCTAAGGATAATTTCTCTCTGACCTAATATTTGAAAAAAAAAACAAAAAAACATACACACACACAACAGTAATGGCATTGAAGATTTATTGTGTGCCAGGCACTGGCCTTAACCCTGTGCCTAGGGTGATTCAGTTAATCCCTGTGATGGCCCTCAGGGAGATCTGTTATTGGGTCACTTGGTCCTTTGCTCACACACACACCTATTTACGGGTGGGGAAATTGAAGCCCAAAGGTTGCAGATAAATGATTTTAAATCGTGTCGTGGCCCTTCCATGACCCGGTGGGCATGACGGTTGGGCCACTTTCTGTTGTTCAGTAGGCTAGAAAAGCGGTATTTCAGAGTGGCGGGAGCAGTCCCCACACCCCTTATGAGGGAAGGGAGACTCACCGCCCTTGGGCCCAGAGCCCTGTCCAAGGACTGGTTAAAAGCATGGGTTCTGGAGACTGCCTGGGGTTCAAATCCCTCCTCTCCCATTCACCAGCACTGTGACATCTCTCTGGGCCTCAGGTCTCCTCATCTGTAAAATGGGTGAATAATGACAGCACCTACCCCCAGAGAATGGCTGAGAGGACGCATTGAAAGAACATAGCAGGAAAGTTTAGCTGCTTCGCCCCAGGGCCGGGCCAGGAGAGAGCCGAACAAGTGTTAGCTCTGGTTATCACCTCTCTTGCCGCCTCCCCTGCCTTCCCCTGCCCGGCTGGCCCAGGGAGGCTGGCCCCCCAGCATTTATGGCTGGAGGTAGCTGGCTGTTGCTGTGAAAGGAGAGCAGGGAGATCAGATTTGGCCTCAGAGTAGGAGGCAGGCTTCCCCGAGGAAGGAGTCTCTGAGCTGGCCAAGGGGCCGTGCAAGGGGGAATATTCCTGGTGGAGGGAACTGCATGTACGCTGGCCCTGAGCCAAGGAAGAGGGACAGAAAGGGGTAAGAGCTGAGGCCTTGCAGCCTTCGGGAGGGGCTGGCCTGTGTTCCCCTGTGGGTGCTGGGGAGCCATGGGAGGGTTGTGGCAAGGACCTGGGGCCCGGGGCCCCGATCAGGGCTGACTCCCTGGAAGCCACAGTTCTTTTTTCATTAAAGAAAAAATTTTGTGCTGGACATTGTTCTAGGCGCTGGGTAAACAGCGGTGAACAAAACAAAGCCCTGCCTGATGGAGCTGACATCAGGAGGAGGAGACAGACAACAAACACAGAGCGACCCCATGCCGGGTGGAGATAAGTGATATAAAAGAAATCAGGTAGGGTTAGGAGAGAGAAAAGGACAGAGACAGGAGCTACTGTAGATAGCAGGTCATGGAAGGTCTTCCCATGGAGGCCACATTTGAGCAGAGGAGCTGAGGGAGGGAGCCAGGCAGGTGTCTGGGGAAAGAGCTTTCCAGGCCGAGGAACAGCAAGTGCAAAGGCCCTGTGACAGGGGCAGACCTGTTGTGTTTGTGGACCAACAAGAAGGCCACTGTGGCTGGAGCCTCCTGAATGAGAGAGATACAAAGGGGAGGGGGTGCAGATGAGGTCAGGGAGGCAATGGAACAAAGTATGCAGAGCCTTGGGGGCCCCAAGGGCTTTGCTTTTACTCTGAGAGCGAAGAGCCCCAGGCAGCTTTTGAGCAGAAAAAGACCACATCTGACTTGTGTTTTTTACACACCTTGAGTGAGCTACAATTCCCATACCGTACAGCCACCCGTTAAAGAGGGACAATGCAGGAGCTATTAGTATATTCATGGAGTTGTACAACCATCCCTACCATCAATTTTAGAACATTTTCATCGCTCAGAGAAGAAACCCCTCCCGCACCTCTTAGCCGCCACCCCCAGCTCTGGCCAGCCCCAGGCGACTGCTCATCTACTCTCTGTCTCCTCTAGATTTGCCTATTTTGGACATGTCATATAAATGGATCAGAGGCTAGGTGGTCCTCTGCGGGGGGGCAGAATTGACATGTTATTTTGGAGGGACCGCCACAGTCCAAGTGGGAGATGCCGGTGGTTGGACTAGGAGGGGCTATGGAGGTGGACAGAACAAACAGGTTGGATGTTGGAAATAGTTGGAAAGGCAGAGCCAGTGACATTTGCACATGGACGGTGTCTTGGGGGAGAAAAGGAGTGAAAGTTTTTGGCCTGCATGGCGGGAATCAGCCAAGACTGGGATGGCTGAGGGAGGGGCGGAAGGGGGTGGGGGAGGACCAGGAGCTCAGCTCTGGGCCAGAGTGTGAGCCATTGCTAGATGATGGAGCGGGTATGCCAACAACACAACTGGAGGAGAGGTTTCGGGCTGGGCCCGGAAACCTGGGAGTCTGTTTGCACACTCTGTTCAAGTTCACGAGCATGAATGAAATCTCAGGTGAAAGGGGCCGGGGAAGCGCAGCAGGCTTGGGGTTGAACGGGGTACAGACCACAGCTGAGACAGAACTCCTACCACCTGATAGGACAGAGCCCAGCAATGCAGCCTGAGAGGTGTGTGGTGGGGGGGAGTGTCCAGAGAGTTCAGAGCCTTCTAGAATGTTGGTCCTGCCTGGCTCAGCAGGGGACCTCCAGGACCCCGTTTCCACTAAGGCCCCCATCGGCCCTCAGGTGGTTGGTTGTTAAATAAATATATTGACTCTCCCTGCTGTGTTCTCCTCCAGGGCATGATCTGATTCGGGTTCTGAAAAGATGGCTCTGGGGCCAGGGTCGGTGGGAAGCGGAAAGGGGAAATCAAGACAGCATTGGGGGTCGCTGTCACCTTACCTACATCTCTCTCTCCACAGATACACCAGCCCACAGCAAGGGGGGCTCCAGCAGCCCCGAGCAGTGGGCCCGGCCCTCCTGCAGTCCCCAGGAAGGGGGCTGCCCGCCACCCAAGGAGCGTGAGTCCCCGCCCCCTCCAGCCCTGCAGACGGTCCAGCTGCCCCGCCTGGCCTTGTCTCCACCGCCCCCAGCCCCTCCGCCGCAGCCGCCACCCCAGCCACCTCAGCAGGTGCATGTGGCACCCTCGTCCCCCAGCCCACCACCTCCTCCGCTGCCACCACCCACGCCCTCGGCCTCAGACCCCTCCCTGGACTTCCTGCGGGCTCAGCAGGAGACTGCCAACGCCATCCGGGAGCTGGCTGGTACCCTACAGCAGGGACTGGCCAAACTGAGTGAGGCCCTCAGCGCCCTACTGCCCCTTCTGCCCGGAACGGCCGTCGACAGGCTGCCCCCGCCTCTGCCCCCGCCCCCGCCCCCACCCCCCAGGCCCCTCCTGCCCCCGCCTACCCCCAAAGCCGAGATCACCCCAGAGCCGGTGTCCGTGGTAGCCGCTGTGGTGGACAGAGCGGTGGTCGCAGCCAGGGGGGTGATCATCGCCCCTAGGAGTGAGGAGGGGACCCCCCGGCCACCCCCAGCCCCGCTTCCTCCGCACGACTCACCCCCACACAAGAGGAGGAAAGGCTTCCCTACGCGGAAGAGGCGGGGGCGATGGAAATCTCCGTGAAATCTGCTCTTGGGTTTGAGCTCGTCTCTCTCCGCTCCTTCTGCCTGCACCTCCTCCCCCCAGCTTAGCCCAGGGGAGGAGGGCAATGCACCTTCCCCATCTCAGCTGCCCCCTGGCTCCCCTGCTGAAGGGGCACCAGCACCCCACTCCCTACACTAGTTAGTGCCTGATTCTCAGGGGACCTCGTTGATGGGTGCCCCGGCCCTTTCTCCAGTACAGCGCTGTCTGCCTGGCTGCTTCCCTGAACCCTAACTTCTAAGCCATCGATTTTACGTTATTTATTATCGCCCTTTGTGGGTTGTGGAGGTTGGAACCCCTCGGGTCTGCACATACCCCCTTCCCTAACAACTCCTGGTCTTGACTTGAAGAGAATTGACCTGCAGGGGCCTCCTCGCTTCCCGGATCCAGACTTTGGAGGGGGTGGGAGGCTCGAGACAAATCAGAATATGGATGACAAAGGATACAGCAGTCTGTACCCTAGGGAGAGGGGGGTGGAGTTCTCACTGGGGAGGTACAGGTTGGGTCCTCTGCCTCCCATTGCTGTCTCTGACCTCCAGAGCTCAACCTCCTCGTTTCTCCCCAGTGGTGACAAGATATGAATAAACTTATTTTTAATACGATTACTTTGGGCTCTGAGACAGGCCTGGGGTTTCAGCACTTATACCTGCCCCCACCCCTCCATGGACAGGTGGCATTCCCTTGAAGTTGGAGGCTGGCTGTTTTCCAGCCCCCCCCCCCTTTTTTCCTTTCTTTCCTTAAAGTCATCAAATCCTGTGTTCAAATCTTATTCCTACTTACCCATCCTTCAGATACCAGCCTAAGTGTCATCTCCTCCAGGAGAACTTTCTGGATTTCCTCCTCCAGGCTAGGATGGGCCTGATTAGATTTTTTTCTAGTGTCCTGTGGTCCCTCAAAGAACACATGCCTTTATCTGTTTAAAGCTGGTTCACCCACCCACCTACCCACCCCCCCAACCCCCCCACCCGTTTCATGAAGGCAAGAGCTGGTTCTCTTTTTTACTCCTAAACCTACTGAAAGCATAGTAGCAAAGTAGCTGATAACCACCACCCTGGATTCAGTCAGGCCTGGCACTGCCCGGGCCAGCTGTGTGGGCCTTCCTTTTCCTCATCTGTAAAATGGGCATAAAAAAATGTAGGAGTCCACAGCTCCATTCTGTTTTCATCCTTCAGGTCTCAGCTCAAATATCACCTCCTCAGAAAAGTCTTTCCTGGCACTCCCTCTCCCCCAGCAGTTGGGGAAAAAATGTAGTTAAATAATCATTTGAGTACATTTAAGTTGAATGTCTGCCTCCATCACCAGGATGAGCCATGTCAGGGGAAGGCCTGAGCCTAGCTCAGTCAATGGTATGTCCTCAGCATCACCCAACACAGAGGGTTGCATCTTTGAGTTAATGAGCAGCTTAAAAACAGTTTCCATGTATGGTGCTCCTTTTCTGGGCCAGGCACCATGCTAAACATTTATGTGCATGTTTTCATTTTAACTTGAGGCTGCCTTATGAAAAGCAGACTCTATGGGGGGGGGGGTCTCTGTTTTTTCTTGATTTTAGAGACTTGCCCTAGACTTGTCAGGGGCCAATCCCAACTCAGCGCACCTGAAGCTGGACTCCAGCCAGAACTCTTGACCCCCACTAGTGTTTACTGAAGAATGGCTTAAAGGCAATTTTAGGGGATACATGGATGGCCGCTTTTTTTTTTTTTTTTAAGATTTTATGTATTTATTTGAGAGAGCGCGAGCAGGAGCACAAGCGGGGTGAGGGGCTGATGGAGAAGCAGATGCCCCGCTGGCAGGGAGCCCGATGTGGGGCTCCATCCCAGAACCCCAAGATCATGACCTGAGCCGAAGGCAGATGCTTAACTGACTGAGCCACTCAGGCATCCCTATGGATGACCTTTCTAATGGTGCTTACCTCGTGTTAAACTTGATTAAAATGTAGCTAGTACCAAAAAAATGTAGCCAGGACATAAAAAACCTGCACTTCTGCACATAATACAGACATACCTCGTTTTATTGTGCTTTGCTTTGTTGCGCTTCACAGATACTGCATTTTATTTTTTTTTTCACAAGTTGAAGGTTTGTGGCAACCCTGGGTCAAGCAAGTCTGTTGATGTCATTTTTCCAACAGTTGCTCACTTCATGTGTGTGTCACATTTTGGTGATTCGTGCAATATTTCCAACTTTTGCATTATTATTACATTTGTTATGGTGCTCTGTGATCACTGACCTCTGAGAGCTCAGATGATGGTTAACATTTTTTTAGCAATAAAATATTTTTAAAGGTATATACATTGTTTCTTTGGACATGATGCTGGTGCACATTTAATAAACTGTAGCATAGTGTAAACTTTTAGATGCATTGGAAAAACCAAAAAGTTCATTTGACTCGCTGTATTGCCATATTTGCTTTATTGCTAGGTTTGCTGTATTGTGGTAGTCTGGAAGGAGCCTGCAATATTTCCGAGGTATGTCTGTATTGCTTAGGATGAGGCAAAAGTAGATAGTCTTCCCCGCCACCCCCCCCAGGGGAGTCAATTTCCAGAAAATAATACAGGTGTTCAGTGAAATTGTGAAGCTGACACTGATGTTTGTATAACAAAATCAGAGCTGCTAGAATTGCAGCAGGATGTGGGAGAGGAAGCAGACAGTCCGATTAGTTTGAAAGTCACTAATGAATGCAAGTCTGACAAGTCATTCAAATATTTTTGAGCGCTTATCACGGACCCAGGCTTAGAGTAAGAGGGTGATGGGGCTTAGAACCTGGAGACTTGTCTCTCCTCCCCATCCCTACTCTTCCAGCCTGACTCGCACTGTTCCCGATGCTGGGAAGAAATCCCTCTCCGGGGGCGGGGTGGGGTGGGGGTGTCCGCAAAGCCTGGTTGGTTCGATCAGGTAGTAAGCACTCAAGGTTGGAGAAAAACTACCCCCCCCCCGCAACTCTTGCTGGCCATCTCTGGCCTCCTTCTCTTCCCCCAAATTAGCGAGCAGTAGAGGGTGAGGATTCCCTCAAAGCGGTGCTCCCCCAAAAAGTAAAGCCCCCAGAAATTGAGCGGGGGGTGAAAGACAGCGGGAATCGGGAAGGCCTCCCCCAACCTCCCAGACAGCGGAAGTGCGTCAATTTGTCCTCCCGGCAGAGCATTTTGGGAATTGTAGTGAAGTGGAAATGGGGAGCGTGGGGGGTGGGGGGGGCAGAAACACAGTGTAACCCTTTGTAGACCAGAGCGCGCCGGCAGAGCTGGAACAAGTTCGAGGGCGTTCGACCACTCTCTTTAGTAGATGAGGCAACTGGCAGAGACCTTCGTTCTTCCCCTTTCTCCGGCTGTTTCCGGCCCCATTCAGAGAATGATATACAAGATTAGAGGCAAATGAGGTGCCAAGCCGAAACCTGTCTCCCCCAGTTGACAGCTTCCCGTCCCCCTACCCCGAAACCATCCAATCAGAGCCCCTCCGCCCTGCCCCAGGAGCTGCTACCTCCCTAACTAGGCTTTGGCCCACCTTTGATGGGCGGGGAATTGAGCCTCAGAAAGGGCAAGACTTTTGCCTAAAGGGGCACAGCAAGTCGGAACAGAAACTAGACGCCCGAAGCCTGTCCACTTCCTACCATTTCTGAATCCGTGATAGCTCTGACCATTCCTATCTCATCCCCGCCCCCAAGCCCTGTGCCCGAGCTCCTCCGAGCGCGTGAAACTCTCTGCCCGGCCGAGATGAGTAGTAGTGTTTGCGCGTCGGAGAGGCTGCAAGCCCGCCCCTCCGCCGCCAGCCGTCCCCTTTAAGAATCGGCCCCGGCGGGACTACGTTTCCCAGAAGGCTTTGCCGGCGCGTTATGTAACTTTCCCTGCGAAGCGGCCTCTGGGGCAGAAGGAGGTGGAGGCGGCGGCGGCCGTTGCAGTGGCGGCGACGGCGGCGGCGGCGGCGGGAGCGGCGGGAGCCCGAGGCGGCGGCGGCGGCGGGAGCGGCCCATCCCGGGGCCCGAGCTGTGCGCCTCGGCCCGGAGCCCGGATCGGGCGGGGGCGCCGACGTGCCTCTAACAGGCTTTTCAAGGAGGCGGGAGTGAGGAAAAAGGCTTAGGGCCCAGGGGGCGGGGAAGGGGGGCCGGGCCTGGATCGGCGGGGAGGCCGCGCCGGAGGCCTGACTGTGGGCTCGCGCCGTCCCGGGGACACGAATCGAACGGCGGCGGCGCGGATCGGAGGCGGCGGCGGGTGGAACGCCGGGGCGCAGCGGCGCGCGCGCGGGGGTCATGGCGTCGGTGCAGGCGTCCCGCCGCCAGTGGTGTTACCTCTGCGACCTGCCCAAGATGCCGTGGGCCATGGTGTGGGACTTCAGCGAGGCGGTGTGCCGCGGCTGCGTGAACTTCGAGGGTGCGGATCGCATCGAGCTGCTCATCGACGCGGCCCGCCAACTCAAGCGCAGCCACGTGCTCCCCGAGGGCCGCTCTCCCGGGCCCCCCGCCCTCAAGCACCCGACCACTAAGGACCTGGCTGCGGCCGCTGCACAGGGGCCTCAGTTACCGCCTCCGCAGGCCCAGCCCCAGCCGTCGGGAACAGGCGGTGGCATCTCTGGCCAGGACCGCTATGACAGGGCCACATCGTCGGGCCGCCTCCCCCTGCCCTCGCCCGCCCTGGAGTACACCCTGGGGTCCCGCCTGGCTAATGGGCTGGGCCGCGAGGAGGCCGTGGCGGAGGGGGCGCGGAGGGCCCTGCTTGGCTCCATGCCCAGCTTGGTGCCCCCCGGGCTGCTGGCGGCTGCGGTGTCTGGCCTGGGAAGCCGAGGCCTGACGCTGGCACCCGGCTTGAGTCCTGCCCGTCCGGCGTTTGGCTCCGATTTCGAGAAAGAGAAGCAGCAGAGGAATGCGGACTGTCTGGCAGAACTGAACGAGGCCATGCGTGGCCGGGCGGAGGAGTGGCACGGGCGCCCCAAAGCTGTGCGGGAGCAGCTCCTGGCGCTGTCTGCCTGCGCCCCCTTCAATGTCCGCTTCAAGAAGGATCACGGGCTGGTGGGGCGGGTGTTCGCTTTTGATGCCGCTGCCCGCCCGCCGGGCTACGAGTTCGAGCTGAAGCTTTTTACCGAATACCCCTGTGGTTCTGGCAACGTGTACGCAGGAGTCCTGGCCGTGGCTCGCCAGATGTTTCATGATGCTCTGCGGGAGCCGGGCAAGGCTCTGGCCTCCTCGGGCTTCAAGTACCTCGAGTATGAGCGGAGGCACGGCTCCGGGGAATGGCGCCAGCTGGGGGAGCTGCTAACCGACGGTGTCCGCAGCTTCCGAGAGCCAGCTCCGGCTGAGGCCCTGCCCCAGCAGTACCCAGAGCCAGCCCCTGCAGCTCTCTGTGGCCCCCCCCCGCGAGCCCCATCCCGGAACCTGGCGCCCACGCCACGCCGTCGCAAGGCGTCCCCTGAGCCCGAGGGTGAGGCGGCTGGGAAGATGACCACCGAGGAACAGCAGCAGCGGCACTGGGTAGCACCCGGTGGCCCGTACTCCGCGGACACGCCTGGGGTGCCCTCCCCCATCGCCGCCCTGAAGAATGTGGCCGAGGCCCTGGGCCACTCCCCCAAGGACCCTGGCGGGGGTGGGGGCCCCGTGCGCGCTGGGGGTGCCAGCCCCGCCGCCTCCTCCGCAGCCCAGCCTCCTGCCCAGCATCGTCTAGTGGCCCGCAACGGTGAGGCAGAAGTCAGCCCCACAGCAGGGGCAGAAGCTGTTAGCGGGGGTGGTGGCGGCACCGGGGCGACCCCTGGGGCACCCCTGTGCTGTACCCTGTGCCGGGAGCGGCTGGAAGACACCCACTTCGTCCAGTGCCCCTCAGTGCCCGGACACAAGTTCTGCTTCCCCTGCTCACGGGAATTCATTAAGGCACAGGGCCCTGCTGGGGAGGTGTACTGCCCCAGTGGAGACAAGTGCCCCCTGGTGGGCTCCTCTGTCCCCTGGGCCTTCATGCAGGGCGAGATCGCCACTATCCTTGCTGGAGACATCAAGGTTAAGAAAGAACGGGACCCCTAGGCCGCCACTGCCGCCAGTCTACTGCCTCCCACCCCCTTGCTACCCACCGCTGCTGCGGATAAATTATTCTCTCCCCCACCCAGCCCAGTGCTACCCCCACCTGTGTACATACCCCCTTCCTCATCCCAGATGGGTCCCCTGGGGTAGATGCGTTGAGGGTGGGGGGAGAAAGCTTGTGGCTTCTGTTGGAGGGGGTGTCTGGGGTCCCTTGGCCCCTCCGGTTTCCCTCTCCCCTCTTTGGCTTGGCTTTGCTGCTGCTTGTAGTTGGGGGAGAGGTGCCCCCCTCCTCCTTGAGAAGGGGCCTCCTGAAATCTCGCTCTTTATAAACAAAGCAAAAGCATTTTATTGCCCCCCCCTCCCGCCCCCTTTTCCTCCTTCAATAAACCGAAAGATGGGTTTTTTTTTTTTTTTCCTTCTTGGTCCCTCAGTTGTGTGAGAAGCTGCGCCCCCTCTGGCACCGAACCGACCCTGCAGGGGAAGGACGTTGCGTTGTAGCCTCCAGGTGGCGCCCTTCACTCAGGCGGCCCCGTTGGCTGGTTTAGACATGCTGGCCATTCCTCAAGCGTTCTAGCCGTCTGCCCGTTTTCCAGATGATAGAACTGAGGCTCAGCATGTGAGGCTCCTTGCATGGGAACCAGAGCCAAGCTTGGGAATGAGGTTTCCCTTCTGATCCAGCCCCTGTATCTACCCAGGATGTGGGGGACTCCGCGCCCTCGAGGGGAGGGGAAGGAGGCATCAGGAGCTTCCTAGAAGGGATGGGCAGTGAGTTCTTGCTCAGGAGGCAGAGAGCATCAAGGCTACGTTGCTTAGAGGGACTGCCCTACCAGAGAGGAAGTTTACCTCCATGGGGTACACTAACAGGATCCCTGGAAACAAAGTGCTTCCCACCTCTGGTGGTGCCCTGAACTGCGCTCCTCGCGCCCATCTTGGGAGACCAGTCTCAACGGTGGCCATCCTAGGACACCGGGACTGGCAGGGTAAAAGGCACAGCCCCCGCGGGCTGCCTCTGATGTGCGCGGCCTTGTCCCGCACCTGTCCCGATGGGCTGATCATTAACCAGGACTTCCTGCTGTCTGGCGTCAAGGGGCGGGACCTGAACAGGCTGCGGCAAAGCAGGGGTTAAGGGGAGGGGGCTGCCCTAATAGCCCAGCCCCCACCCCTGCAGCCTCCCTCTGCGGCCCTAAAGTGGAGGTTGGGGGAAGGGGGAATGCGGGGCGTCAAGGGCAATGGATGGATGGAAAAATGGGGAATGTTAGTGTGTCCTGTCACTGCGGCACTGTC